ATCCAAATCATCCAATTTAGCCACTACCACATGATTATTGCAGCAACAAGACTAACCCACGAATTTAATTAAAACAAAAAATAAACAATCATAATTAGCCAAATTAAGCACAATTAGCAACATTAAACATATGCTCAAGCTCAAGTCACATAATCTACCTATTTTAACATTCAAATCAGCCATATAATCATCAAATCCAGCCACCAACAAATCCTTAATTCGGCATCTACCATAACCCCTAAATTAACCCCTAAAATAACCCCTAAATTACCCTAACAACCCCTAAACACTATCCATTGATAACCTACTAACCTAATCAAGGTTTAGAGAGTTACTTACAACTAATTTAAGCTAAGAACTAAGCCAAAACCAGCAGCACCAGTCCCGGCCAAGCCAAGAGCTCCGGCGCACGGCGGCGGCCCAAATGGCGATACGGCGAACGGCGACTGATCCGGGCGTGAACGGCGGCTTAGTGGCGGCTCACGCTGGTCCACAGCGGTCCAGGGGTGGTGGCGTGAGGTGCAAGGGTGGTGGACGGCTGTGGTGAGTGAGTCTCGGCCAAGGGGGAGGGAGGGAGAGAGAGAGAGAGAGAGAGAGAGAGAAATGAAGAGAGAGAGAGAGCAAGGAAAAAGTGAGGGGAGAGAGAGAGAGAGGGCTGAACATATCTCTCAAAATGGAGGGCTAGGATGAGTCCTTGGTGCCCAAGTATTGATCTAAGGGCTAGAAATGCATCTAGCAAAAAGGTTTCTAGAAGGGCAATTATGTAAATAACCAAAAAGGGCAAGGGCAAAGTTGTCCAAGAGGATTTTCGGCCACTAGGGAAAAAAGACCAACATGTCCTTCCACTCAACAAATAAACTCTAGAACGCACAAGGGTAAAATCATCTTTTCCAATTTCCGAGCCTATTTTCACTTTTTCGAGAATTTCTGAGCAAACCGATAATAAAGCGAGCTTAACGCGGCGTCGTCCAATATAATAATTTTGACATCCTTGAAAGTTCAATACCCAAGTTCGGATTCCAATTCGTGGCCAAAATCGATCAAACGCGACTTTCGTGTATCTCAAACTAACGGGCGGCTTTTAGGGTTTACGTGTATCGACCCGTGGTTGATTTGATATCAATCCACGTTTAAGTTTACTCGAACCATGGTAACTTCGGTTGTCATGTAATTACGAGGGTCAATCGTTAGTTCCGAATGACACGATCGTTAGAAATTGATTTTGGAACGTTCGGAATGCATACAACGATTAAACAGAATCACCCGTGACTCAATTATATAACATTGTTAAATTGTTCTATAATCATTCTTGGATCGGCCTATAATGGCCCAAAATATCCCCTCGTCAATCCTTATCGTCAAAGTATTGATCCAGGTTCGAGTTCTTGGGTCATGCGTACCGAAATCCTAACTAGCCATTCCCTAACGGTTAGTATTCTCAAGAATGGCCAATTCCGAGTGAGATATAACAGAAAGTACATTGATGATAATATCATTTCATAAATCCCGAAAGTTGGTCGAAATTCAGAATGTCACATGTGTGCTAATAGTGTAGTGCTAAAGCAATTTAAAGACATGCATAGCAATTAATGACCAAACAGCACTTCTAAAATTCATTCAAACCATATTCAATCTCAACACCATCCTGCAAAACAAGGGTTAGCAAAGACTACACCCCTTATACCACCCACCTGCAAAACCATTTAACACTATCATTAGCGGGACGTACCTGGGATCCTTGCAAGCACAAAACACATGCATATCGTTCTATCTAGGCCTAAGTCCACTTAGAAAAGGTAACTCCCCAGCGGAGTCGCCAAGCCTGTCGCGCCACGCTTTTTCAGGGGCTTTCGGGATTTGCGCTCTAATGAGGTATTTCCGTGTAAGGGTCTCTCCCAGCCATGCCTCACGTGACAGCAGATGGTAATTTCCTATTTAATCTAAGTTTGTGATTTTGGAATCGCCACTAGTCATTATTGGTAAGTAGACTAGAAACATAATCGAGGTACTGGAGAAATACCACGATTCTACGAACCAGAGATTCTAAGTACGGGGACTTGATTACGTTATTGATCCCGAATTAAGATCCCTAACGCCCTTTCGGTACCTAAGAACGATACGACATCTAACGTGTCATGCAAATTTCCAAAGCTTACCCACTAATTCTATCCATTCTAATCACAGGAAGAATCAAATAAGTATTAAATGTACAATTAATGTCAATCAGATCAATCAATCCTAAATGGTCTTTAAAAATGAAAATCAATCAAAACATCCAAACCCTAATGAAGCTTTAGAAGCTTATTCGTTTCATGATTTACATTTTTTAGGGTTTTAGGGTTTTTTAGAGGTTATAACCCCTGAATTTGCGATTTTCTAAAAATGCCACTTGGGCACTTCCAAAAATTCAAATCTCACTTTTTATGGTTGGTCACGGTGTTTTTGGACCATTTTGTGAATTTTTAAAATTTTTGAATTTTTTGATTTTTTTTTTTTCGAAAATTTCATTAACCGAGAATTGATTTTTATGATTTTCTGAAAATTTTTATGAATTTTTCAATTTTTCAATTTTTTATTGATTTTCTAGATTTTTCATATTTTTCATTTGCATTTTCTGAAGTTTCTGAATTTTTTTATTTTTTCTGTGAATTTTTCATTTTTCTGAATTTTTTTTCGATTTTCCCAAATTTTTTATATTTTTCTGATTTTTTTTATTTTTTATTTTTATTATTTTTATTATTTTTGAATTTTTATGAAATTTTTTTCATTTATTATTATTTTTTTTTTATATTTTTTAAAATTCCCGCCGAAGTGGTGAACCGGACCGGCCTGGTTCAACCCGGTTCGGCTTGGCCAAACCGGGCGTCGCCGATGTCGGCGCCGGTCAGTTTCTCCGGCAGGCACAACACCGAAACGGTGCTGTTTCAGAGGAATTTCATTGGGGCATTTCCCCGAGCACCTGGTGTGCATATTTCTGTATTGAACATTTTCAGGGCCGCCGATTCGAACCCGTCTCCGATGACCCTCCGGTGAGTATTTTGCCATTCCAATTAATTCACTACAAAGTCCACATTTCCCATTACCAATCTAGCCCAACCGGAGTGTCGTCGAACCTTCGCCGGCCGGTGAAATCCAGTCTCCAAAACATTAACTTTTAGTGGCTAGGATTTACATTTTTAGAATCTGAATAACTATCCTACTCACCCTAGCCGTCTAACTCGGTTCCAATGACTAACAAAACACCAAACAAGGTCAAGGAAGCTAACTTGAATGGCCCTACGGCCACGGCAATGCTTCGGCGAGGGTTGAATGAACTCCGGCAAGATAGTTCATGGACAACCGGTTCGGTTTATGCAGGTTTATTTAACAAAATGCAATCAAATGACATAAAATGTGATTAGAAACATGTTTTAAACATCAAAATGCGAAAAAATCATCAGCGAAATCACACGAGCATAAGATTCAATTGTGGAAATTTTTGGGAAAACCGTGACTTTGAACAATGTTTACCTACTTCGTTCGATGATCAGAAGAAATTGTCGAATTGATCCGCGCCTATAGGGTTGTTCCCTGACACTTGTACTTCTACCTGGTGGTCTTGGCCTCGCCGGAAGAGCTCTGGATTAACCGAAAAAGGCTCGGTTTCAGGCCTTCAGGACCAGCCGAGCCGACTGGAACAGTGAGGGGAGGTTTCGGCCAAACTCCGATTCGCCGGTGCTCCGCCGTCTAGGGCGGTGCTGGACATTCGGGTGGGAACCTCAGACCCTCTCTCTCTAACTTTTCCTCTTTGGTTTCACCTGTTTCCCTCTCCTCTCTCTCTCTCTCTCTCTCTCTCTCTCTCTCTCTCTCTCTCTCTCTGGCTTTTCGTCGAGCACCTCTTCTTCAATGTTCAAGTTTTTTTCCTTTTTGTTCATCGATTTTTCCCGCCCAAATTCGGTTAGAACCAATTTCCGATCGGTTAGATTGGTTACCTAGTGCCAGCTGGAGAATCTCCAACTGGCCAACTCGGTTAAAACGTGCTAATTTGATCAGGGAGGGTTGGCGAAGTCCCGGGCACGAAAAATACTTTTTTTTGGGTTTAATGGGTCTTTGAATGAGTCGGGTGAAGAAGATGAACAACCCGGGTCGGGTCGGGTCGACCCGGTTGACCCGGCAGACCCGGGTTGGTATAAATTCACAAATTAAGCTTAATTTTGACCCAATTTTCAAAATTAAACCCCAAAATTGAATTCCCCATTATATTTCGAACCCAAATATGTGATTTTCCCCAATTTTTTTTTATAATTGTGTCCAAGATTTTCATATTTTTGTATTCGGGTTAATAGGACTTTATTCGATTTGATGTCCTACTGACCTGATTAGGAAAAATTGATGCCAAAATTGAATTACCCACATCTGATTAACCCTAGAAATGATGGTCTCATGTTTCGACAATTTCATATTGGGCACGATTCCCAATTTGGGTTCAAAATTCTTAATTTTCAATTGAATTTTGGAGTTTTCTGATTTCTTTGACAAATTGTGCAATTGGACTTACCGTTATGTAATTCATGGTCCTAGAATCATTTGTTGTGAAGACACTATGACTTAAAAATGACTAGAAAAAAAATAATTGCATTTTTGGTTCAATTTGGGTTTGATTTTGCCCAATTTTGGGAAAAACATATACCCGATTGAGATTTTTCAAAATTGATGATGTATTCATGAAATTGAATTTAAAATAAGACTAATGAATTTTTTATGGAATTTTTTTATTCCATTTGCTATATTTTTTTATTTTCTCACTTATTTTGACTAAAAGAAATTAAGGAAAAATGTAGGAAAATGCTAAAAAAATATTTTTTTTGGTTTAGAAATAGGTTTTTAGGCTTGGCCAAGATTCCTAGTCCCAATTTTGAGATTTTTGAAAATATGAAAAAAAATGAGCTAAAAATCATGTGTCAACACCAATTAAGAGAGAGGTAACAATGTTTTATTCGAAATCAATAATACATGTGGTATGTAGTTTAGTATGTGTCAAAAGCAACCACTTATGGAAATAAGATTAATCTCGTAACTCTCATAATTCAATTATTTTTGTGTAACTTATGATAGATTCATTTAGTTGTTGTCGTACCAAAACTGCGCCTGGAGGTAGTCAACAACCTTCTTGTCCACTTGGAAGGCCTTGGTAAGAACATCAGCAGAAATGGATGGCTTCGCTCCAAAGACAGCCTTAGCAATGGTAATGATTCCTGGGTTCTGTAACATCCTGAATTCAACCCACTTTCGTGATCAATGAAATGGATATGTATTTCTCATTTCGTTTTAGTAAGTCTCACCCGGAACTGATTATTCTCGGGATACTGACCAATAGAGAATGGCTAACTAGGAAAACAATACGTGGACCCAAGAACTCGACCGTGAATCGAACTCCGATTCCGAAGAACGACGAGGGAATATTTTGGGCCAATGTGGGCCGATCCAAGGAGGGTGACGGATTTAGTTTGACCAACGACATACGATCGGATCGTGGGTGATTCCGCACGACCGAGAGTACGCGTGGCGAACGATCCTAAACTTATTCCGAACGATCGCAACTCCCGGAACTAGCGATAAATCATCGTGTTGTCTTGGAAATCGAGACCGTCACGACTCGAGTAAACCTAGGTCGATACGCGTAACCCCTAAACAGCCGCCCATTAGTAAGAGACGCTAAAATCGCATTTGAGCGAAATTGATCGTAGAATTGAATCCGGACTTGAGTGTCGAATTTCACGGACATATGTGACTATTTTGCAAGGACAACGTCGTATTAATGTGGCCAATCATATTTGGAATCGGTATAGTCAAAAAATGGAATTTCGGACAGGAAGTAAAAAATTACCGATTTGCCCCTAAGCCCTAAGTGTTAATTCCGAATTTTGGAGGATAAATTAGTCATGTTCAACCCCCCATTAGTGCCGAAAATAATGGACTAAAAAGCCCCCATCACTCTTGCTCAATCCCCAAGGTGCCCCTAGATATTTTGTGCAAGATTGAATCTTGGCCATTGGATTTGAATTGATTGGATTGGCCTTTAAATTTCAGCCCTTGGATCATGTGTTAGTGGAGGGGTTAGTTTGGTCCTTGTTAGTGGGGTGGGTCAACCACCCCCACTCACCATTTTGCACAAAACCTCTCTCAATCTCTCTCTCCTCTCATTCTCACCACCACCGGCCACTCTCCCCTCTCTCTCGCCAACTCCCTCTCCCTATTCTCTCCTTCCCCTTGGCCGTGAGAGCCCCCGCCGAAGCAGCCAACCGCCGCCCCCGCCACCGCCCGCCGGTACCGCTCACCGCCGTCGTCCTGAGTCCAGCCTGTCACCACCACTATTTGACCGTCTCTCTCTCTCTCTCTTCCTTCTCATTTCGGCGCCACCACCAGCCCCGTCTTGGTCGTGAGACCGCCGCCCGAGCGCCGCTACCATCCGAGCGCCGCCAGCCACCCGCGTCTCACGCGCCACCGCCTCAGCCACCCTCACCTTTTCCTCTCCTTCCCGTGGCACCACCACCATCACTGTAGCCCCCTTCACCGAGGGAGATCAGCCATGAGCCAGCCCCAACCAACGTACGCCACCGAGTGCCGCCGAGGGAGCCCCCGCTCGTCGCCGCTGGTCCGACGTGGTGCCGCCGCTACTCAGCCACCCTCGCCACCTGTCCAGCCCACATTGGGAGCTTAAGACCTAGTGAGTGGAAAACCTAACCCTTAATTAGGCTCTTGTGCATTATCTAGACAATTTTAGGGGCTAATTAGGGTATTTTAGGGGTTAATTAGTGGAGGATGATTAGGGCTGACCTTGTGGCTATTTTGGTGGCTTAGTGTGATAATTTGATGGGGATTTGGTGGCCTAGAATGGTCTGATTAGTGGCTGAGTGTTGTGGGCCTAATGGGATTAATTGTGGCTAATCTAGGGTTGAATGTGTATTGGCCATGTGGACTTTAAATTGATCATGAAGTGACTGAATTGGGTGTGATTGGTAATTAATATTGTGATGTCATGTTGTGTGCTTGGTGTGGCCGAATGATGAGATGCTTGCTGGGTCATCGACATGTGTAATTTCAATGACTAATGGCATGATTTCGTGCACGGAATGGAGAGCCGTGGCCGATTTGGGTTAATTGCTTAATTGAGCATGTTAATACATTAAATTGATCATGTGCGGTGTGAACTGAGCAAGTGGCTATATTAAATTGAGTGCTCGAAGTGGATTGTGTGAATGCCCGAGTTTCGGATATTATGGCCATGAATGATGCATATTGGGTGTTGGCATATGCATTATGTGAGTGTGCGCGATTGGCATGAGTATGTGATCACCTAAATTGCCCTGATGCGTTTTACGCAAGGTTCAGATAATAATTGGTGGAATGTGTACGTGTGATCACATAAGCCCTGATGCGTGTTACGTGGGGTATTGAACCCGTCCTGAGGCGTTTAACGCGGGACGATGCTCGGATTACCGGAAGATGGCCAACCTGAGGTGTCCCATACGCGGGTTGTGTCATGAGCCTGATGCGTTTAACGCGGGTCGGTGATAAATGGAAGGTTGGCACGTGTGCGAGGTATGCAATACGTGTGCAAGCATGTGCATGACATTGGCTCGTGTGCAAAGTGTGCATCAATGAGTATGGGCAGGTGCATGACAAGTGTGATCATGACCAGTGGATTGGTGTGTATATACCATTTGATGGGTCCAGTGCTATTATTATTATGTGTCTAACCTGCAGGGTCAATTATATGTTGGATTTGGGCCAAGGGCCTAAGTCCTGTGATTGCTCTATTGTGTGTTTGGTTAATACCTGTTTGGAGGTGCATGTTAGCCTAGTTTCGGTTTAGGGGGCCTACTCGCTGAGATTTATTCTCACTGTTGTTAAAACCCACCATTTCAGACACCCAGCCTTGAGGATGGCAGGAGTGTCGATTCGTTTTGAGATCCCGTACAGCATAGAGCGGCCGGTGATCGAGTACCCCGTTGGGAACGGGGAGACTTATGTTAGGCATTTTACTACCGTTTGGGTCGACATGGGGAGCTACAGTTCCAGGCTCATCAGTATCTTGGTTGGTGTTTTCGAGACCCGTTCGGTGTTTATGGACCCCTTAGGACTTTTGATGTCCCGATAGACGGATTAGGTCATTGGTATCCGCAGACAGCAGATGGGGAGGTGGCCAACCCCGAAGCCGTGTCCGAGGAGGATTCCGACCCCCGACCCATCATCTTCGAGATGGATTCCGACCACGGGGACGAAGAGCCGATGGAGTGGGAGTCCGATCCGGAGCCTATGGAGCTGGAGCCGGAGCCGGAGGACGATTCTGAGGAGGAGCCAGTGGAGGCTGAGTCCGAGCCGAATTCCATGGACTCCGAATCCGAGTCGTCTGACGATTCGTCCGAGTCCTCGGGATCCAACCTAGACTGGTTACCCTAGGGTTTACCCTTGATCTTAGTTAGGTAAGGCCGACACTTTTTTATAGGAGCCCTTCTTATATAGTGCCTGACCGCCCGAGCCACGTATCCCATTTTGATGTTAGTGGCTTGCTGACCCGTTTTGATTTATGTATATCACTATTAATGAATATTGTAAATCTCTTGGCATTAATGTAAGTTTGTATTTACGTTGTTCGTTGCTATCCTTGGTCATGTTTCATTTATGTACGGGTGTTTGTTTGCTTCCGCATGTGTATTATTCTCTGTTCTGGGTTTTTGGTCGGCGACGCGTCCTGGGACGTCGCACAAATTCGACTGCGGTAGGGTTGTCACATGCCGTAGGGTTCGAGGCGTGACAGGTTCTGGCTGCTAAGACCGGAAAAGGCCAGCGCATACGTGTTTTTGATATTCAACTGGAAGTGAATGAGACCAATAGGGAACACAAACACGTCCCCCTTGTACAGGACTTTAGTGAAGAGTTTGTTGTTTAATTGGTTGGATGTGACAAAGCCAACAAGTAGCATACCGTCCACCACGACCAGAACCTCAGTGCCACAAGGGTGACTGTGGGGAGGATTTAGGCCGCCGGGAGCGAAGTCAATGCGAGCCATGGATATTCCAAGAGTGTTGAGTCCTGGAAATTGGTCGACAAAAGCCTGTGTGACTTTTGATCCGAGCGGATTCGATGTGTTTCCAGGAGTTCTAAACCTCATAAAGAGGAAATCATTAGCCGTGATTTCTTTTGGGTCCTTGCAGAACTTTCCATTCACAAATACTGCATAAGAAAAAAAATTGGTGTTTCAGTTTCGACATCATAAGCCAGAAATCAAATACATGACTAATGCAAGAATTGAGGAACCAACCTCCAGATTCCATATCATTGGTTCCCACGCATATGTCCTGAAGAGGACTCGGGTCGTAAGCTAAAGCAGCGACAGTTGCTAAAGCCAAGATGAGAAAGCTAATGGGAAGAAACTTCATTGTGGTTGTGAACAGGAGTTGGGGCCTTGATCGCGAGTTCTAATCCTTGCACAGACTAGTATTGCTTGAGGGAGGAGTGAGGACTTGCATGGCAACATGCTCTCTCTTTATAGATGAAAATGTTTGACCTAGTATTTAGATCATCAGCTGGTTTTCATGCAGATTACTTCCAAATCTTAAGAGGTTTTATCTATTTCCCCTTCTCACCCTATAACAACTACGAGGACTTGGCGATTTGTTTCATATCACCTCATATTGAAATGGTCTTTGATGAATTTTGAATCCGTACTGTTTCTTCTTCGTTTCTTTTACAACTCTTTTGCCACTCAAAGAAGACCGAAAATATCTAGAAATGCGCTCTTTTGTCGCACAAAAGTTGATGAGCTTATTATTTCAGATATGATAAGCTCATCGATGATGATTTGATCCACTACAAAAAAAGTTGGTTTTAGCCACGAATTTTGCCACGAAAATTTTGGCAAAATTCGTCGCTAAACGAATTAGCGACGGAAAAAAATTCGTTGCTAATAGGCCGTCGCAAAATTTTGCGACGAAAAAAAATTTGTCGCAAAATTCGTCGCTAATTATTTGTGGTAAAATTCGTGGCTAATTTGCCACGAAACAAAATTCGCCGCTAATTATTTGTGGCAAAATTCGTCGCTAATTTGCCACGAAGTGTATTCGTGGCAAAATTCGTCGCTAATTTGCCACGAACTTTATTCGTGGCAAATTATTCGTGACAAAATTCGTCGCTAAATATTCGTGACAAAATTCGTCGCTAATTTGTTACGGACTATATTCGTGGCAAAATTCGTCGCTATTTTTTTCAAATTTTTTTTTTGTTGGTCGCGAAATTGTGACGAAATATTTTCGTGGCAAAAATCGTTGCTAATTATTCGTGGCAAAATTTATCGCTAATTTGTGACGAACACATTTCGTGACAAAATTCGTGGCTAATTTGCCACCAAATTTTTTTTTGTCAGTTTTTTGCGACGAACTTATTCGTGGCAAAATTCATGGGTAATTTCAATTACCCACCAAAATGAATGTATTTCTTTTTCTTATTCGATTTTAAATGTAATTTAAAGCAAAATTAATTTCTAGAATTTGTATTTAACATTGATTAAGCACTTAATAACATCAAAATATTATAATAATATGAAAATGAAATACATTCATCTACATTTTCCATGTACTTGAACATATAGCTCAATGTGATCAAAATATTATAATAATATGAAAATGAAATACATTCATCTACATTTTCCATGTACTTAAACATATAGCTCAATGTGATCAAACTATTATAATAATATGAAAATGAAATACATTCATCTACATTTTCCATGTACTTGAACATATAGCTCAATGTACTTGAACATTCTTGGCAAATCTCCCCCTCCGCATATCAACACATAGCTCAATGTACTTGAACATCCTTGGCAAATCTCCCCCTCCGCATATCAACACATAGCTCAATGTACTTGAACATAATCCTCTCAAGGGTATTTTACCATGCTCGGGATCTCTTCGAGGTAATAAGATCGTGAAGTTCTTGCAGAGCATCTTGCTTCTTCTAGGATCCATGCAGAGCATTTTCTGGAATCCAGCAATTGCATCAGTGATAAGAATGCTGGATTGGCAATTTAATATCACTTCATACATTTCATTACATTGGTTCAGGGCACCAAAGGAGACATGATGTCGACCCTCATCTACAATTTTCAGTAGAGGATGGTCCATTACCAGTTTTTATAGGTTCACTGATAGGAAAACATACAATAAGGTCAACAGTGTAAAGATCACTCGCCTATCAAGGAATGAAATCAGACATCCATGAAGATATTTTTAACCCATCTTTGCAAACACAGGGTGTAGTCCACTGTGAATAAGTCTAATGCATTAGCCATTTAATGGGGAAAAGTGCACAAACAGGACTCGACACTTTGGTCATTGCAGAATTAAGATTTATTCTGCCATCCAGAAGATAGCACACCCAAACAAAAAGAACCAGGATAAGTTACTGCAACATTGTTCTGTAAATTAAAGCTCAAATAAGCTTATGACACCATTGTGAAAATTACACAAAGCATAAACCTCCACGAGGGTAAGGGAGCTCACTCACTTTTATCGTGCGGATGTCCTTAGAAAATTCTGGACATGAATCCATGTGCTTTTTCAAATCCAAGTCCAAGTACTCAAAAACTAGATATAGACACCTCTCACTGTGCACTACATCCTGCAACCTGCCACTCATAAGCGTATGAGCTATATTATGATTGAACCATAACAAAGACAAACAGAACTTGCATATTATTTATAGTGAACTAAAAAAAAATTTCATATATAAGCATTGATCAGTCTCCTTCTCTACAAAATCCAGAACTACAGAAAAGCGACCTAGTGAATCAATTTATTGGTATGGACAACATCATGCATTAACAGAAACTACTTGAAGCATCCAAACAGCGTGATTTTTCCATGTCAGACATATTAGACAGGATAATCCAAGCATCCAAATAGTGTGGTCATAATCACTTGAATAGTTTATCACGTAATATCTATTTGCTTGCCACCATTCACAAGTGCTGGGTACTATTGCATTATCATGTGTGATCAGCAAGCATGACCAACAACATGGAAATTTAGCAAGCATTTACTAAATAAGATGCAGAGACTCTCCCAATGTAATTCATCAATACGTTACATATTGCAAATAAAAAACTTAAGTAAATGATGACTTCCCTCTTCCAGTTAGCAGAAACTCATACGCCATAAATTGCAAGACCTTCTAGGCAAGTATATGTACCAGCTCATTTAGATTTCACAAACATGGACAGACTTGAAATTATAACTTCAAAAATAAAAATAAAAAACTAAGCGTTTATCCTAAGGGTTGGGTGTAACATCTTGCTCCTGATTCCGACACCTAATGTTGTACTTACAGAACAAAGTAAACCATCTTGAAGGATAACTTCCCACGTCTAGCTATACATCTTCAGGATTTTGCAGGAGCACACCCCTTACTTTTGACCTGATAGAAAATTGACGTTACTAGCCATACTGAAGTAGCTCAATCAGTAAAATCAATAAGAATAAACAGCTGAGTATTACCTCCTATGAGCAGGGACAACGCAATTAGTCACTCTTTTTGAGTTTGCATCTTGTGCTACTACTTTCTCTGAAGTTTGATAAGTAAAAAAAATGTAAGGTGGTTAGACTGAACAATAGATCATGAAAAGGCACTGAAAATCATCAGGCTTGACAGTCTGGAAAAGCTTCCCCTGCAAGTAATCGTACATGGTCAAGAGAGTTATGTAAATAAAGCAAGCTGATTAAATAAACTCAAATTACGCACACTCACTTCTATGACAGGAGGTTGACCCTTGAGTCCAACTTTCAAGTGGTTTTTCTTTATGTCGCATACCACAAACCTTCCTTTAGTACCCTTAGGAACTGGAACATGGACAGTAACCTCCTGCAGAGTCTGAGTCCAGGAATAATTCTCAAGATCAAGGCCATTGCCTTTGTTTGGCACTGTTCAACCAGAAACAATGTCAGAGCAACTACGGAGGCAGCGTGGTATATTTTACAAAATCTGTCTACTAAACATATGCATCCACCTTGTAAAAGGAATCATAACAAGACAGTCTCTTATAGAGTTGCACTTTCCAAAGCACACTGGGTAACCTAACTGGTCATCTCAGCTAAAGCTATCTGAATCATACTCAATGCAAGAGCTAAAATCAGGCTCAGTTCACAATTTGGGCATGGGGATTGTCAAAGTCATAACTATTGGTCCATATCAAATGTTGATGCTGAGGTGATCAAGTTATCACTTTTTAATTGGTCTTTAACAATCTTAATTATGAGTCCTAAATCTTTTGTCCAGCCATGCTAAATCCCAAAGGTGGAAAGGCACTAACCAATCCTGAAGTTCCACAAAACAATCAGACATTCTATGATTACAGTTGATCCATAATCAGAATCACCTAGTTTTCCAGCTCGTATGACAAAAAAAAAACAAGATTACACTTGCAAAGTAGCTTCTTTTCCTAATTTCCAAGGAAAATGGGAGATCCAATCAAGCATAAGCACGCAAAAAAACTTGCAAGAACCAAACACTGCAACGAGAAGACATCCCCAAAACCAAAAGCAAGAAGCTTACAGCAAACCTTCCATCACTAGAGTACTTGAATAAGCCAATGCACGCTTAAACAGATTATAGGAGAGATCAACACGAGAAATTTAATTATTCGGGAGAGTTCAGATTGCTGAACAAAGGAACAAGTACCCATCAAAGAATATCCACACTTTAGCGAAATCGATAGCAAAATAGAATGAAACATTTTCCCTGCCCATCGCCATTAAATAGCCAACCAGAGAAAACATCCAAGCTATATAGATGACTACGGCCACGAAACCGTCACAGCCTAACTATAGCAGGAGAAAAGAGCCACATCATGAGCGATCACTATGTAATGTACTTCTCATCTAATCTCCCAGATGTCTCAACCCCAGCAGCGTCTCGACAGGCACTCATCGCGCTCATGCGTAGCAAGCAATAAATCACGACACTGTCCAAGAAAAATCAAAAGCTCTTACCTATCGCTCCACTCTTCTCCTCCTTCTCTTCCTCCGCATCCTTCATCTCCACCCCCTGCACCTTCTTCTCTTCCTCCACCTCCTTAGCCGCCGCCGCCGCCGCCGCCTTCGCCTTCTTAGCCCTCTCCCGCTCCCTCTCCTTCTCCCTCTCGACCTGCCTCAGCTTATGCTTCTGCTTCTCCCTCACCGCCCTCAACACCGCCACGACGTCCCTCTCCGCCGCCTCATGCGCGAGGAAATCGCTCCGCTCGGCCACGAACTCGAAGGCCTCCTCGATGAACCCCAGCGGGCTGGACGGATCGAACCTCGCGCTGAACTCCGCCGCGGCAGAGGAGGAGGCCGAGGACGAGGCCGAGGGCTTGGCCTCAGGTTGCTTCTCCTCTTCCTCCTCGAAGTCGGAGATGATCGCCATGGACGGTGAGCTCTGGGAGGGATCGAATCGGAGATTGCACTTCTCTGGCTCGATTTCCTCTAGGGCTCCGGAGGCCACGGGCGAGGAGGAGTCGCGGGAGGAAGCGCGGGGGAAGGGGTAGCGAAAACTGAAATTCGTGGCTAAATTCATTTCTACTAGCCCACACACGAATTTCATTAATTACAATGCTGGCGACGTCGTGCCTTGCCGGCGGGGCCGGGCCGGGGCCCCCCTAGATCTGGTGAGGCTCAACCTCGCCGTTGCAAGGCGAGACCGACCTCGCCCAGCGCCGACGAGGTTGAGCCTCGCTAGTGGCCGGCGGGGCCAACCTCGCCGGCTTCCACCTCTGGCTGGTCGCTAATCCGGTGACCGGCCAGAGGTTGAAAAGAAAGGAAAAAAAAAAGTAAAGAAAAAATAAAAAATTAATAAAAAAATTCGAAAAATAATATTAAAAAATTAGTTCTGGGTAAAATTGTCACGTGTATACTAATTTAGGGTTTTTTGTGGTCAAAAAAATAGTTCATGATAGATTTGTCACAAGTGTACCAGTTTTGGATTTTTTATGGTCAAAAAAATAATTTGGGGTAAAATTGTCACAAGTGTACCAGATTAAGGTTTTTCGTGGTATTAACCCTAATAATAACAACAACAACAACAACACTAATAATTACGACAACAACAATAATAATAAATATGACAACAACAATAAACTCTTGTCATAATAATAATAATAATAATAATAATAATAATAATAATTACGACATAATTAGTAAAAAGTCTCAAAAATCTAAATCTTCATCTTCACCTTCGTCTTCATCTTGATATTCATCTTCTTCTTGAGCATCATCGTCACCATCATCATCATCATCATCATCCTCATCATCCTCTGTCTCAAAATCATATTCTGCAACAACTTTTAAATTTGATTCGCAAATTTCAGTTAGATCTACATTTATCATTACTCCACATGGATCTCGTAGAGTTGGAATGTTATATTTCTTAGTTTGAACCGTGTTACAAACTTCCTCTTGTTGAAATGCTGTATCCTTCCAGTGTTCCTCGATTTTTCTTCGTGCTTTGATTTTACATACAGCCAACCAATCAGTTTTGTCACGTTTCAAACTAGGATATGATGCATAATATACTTAAATTGCTTGTTGTGCCAACACAAATGGTTCATATTTCATATACTTTTTCTTGTGATTTATTTCAACCAAATTAAATTTCGTATGCACCTTCATTCCTTTAACGGGGTCGAACCACATGCACTTAAATAACACAACCCGCATTAATGGTCCGGGGTACTCTATCTCTATGATTTCATCCAACAAGCCATAAAAATCATCTTTTGAACTGCCACCATTGGATGACCGAACACACACACCACTATTTATTGTGGCTTTTCCCATTCCATATTCTTGAGTGTGAAAATTATACCCGTTTATAAAATATGCTGGCTAAGTTCGTACTCTTAACTTTGGACCCCATGACAGATAATATAGCAATCATTGCTCTTCAGCTTGATCATGATTACTGTGAACCTAAGATCACACACGCAAAGTCAATAATATATATTTAAATGATGTATAAAATATTAATAACTTGGTTTTGGTCCATAGGTAACTTACATATGTTTTGAACCATGCTGCAAATTGTTGATCGCACAAACAATCAAACTCATTTGGTGGTAGTCCATACATTGAAGTTTGAAAAATCCTATTAACAATTTACATTTATATATTAATAAATATTTGACACGCAATACATATATTAGCGACGAATTTATTTTTCGTTGCAATTTACGTCGCAAAATTAGCGACGAAAAAAAATAGTCGTTAACTCCGTCGCAAATTAGCAACGAATACTTTTTCGTCGCAAATTCCGTTGCAAATTAGCGACGGATATTTTTCGTGGCAAATTCTGTCTCAAATTAGCGACGAATTTTTTCCGTTGCAAATTAGCGACGACATTTTTTTTCGTCGCAAATTAGCAACGAAAAAAAAATTCATCGCTAATTCCGTCGCAAATTAGTAACAAATTTTTTTTGTGGCAAATTCCATCGCAAATTAGCGACGACATTTTTTTCGTCGCAAATTAGCAACGGAAAAACAATTCGTCGCTAATTCCGTCGCAAATTAGCCACGAATTTTTTTTCGTGGCAAATTCCGTCGCAAATTAGCCATGAATTTTTTTCCGTCGCAATTATTCGTCGCTAATTTGCGACGAAAAAAAATTCGTTGTAAATTCTGTCTCAAATTAGCGACGAAAAATTATTAGTCGCCAATTTCCATGGCTAAATCCTTGTTTTTTTTGTAGTGATCATTTAATACAATTTTTCTTATTTGTCATATAATACTTTAGTAGATTTTTCTTTTTCCCGAGCATGGTTTGTAGGAGGTAGGAAACAAGATCCTGTTCTTCTCCCAAGCTGCCACTTGTCAGCAGCCTAATGAAAAGAAGGTTTTAGTTCCACTTTCTTTATAAGACATGACTTACTTAATGATTAAAGGTGCGATTATATTGAGAGATACTTTATTGGGGAAGTGATACTTTATTGGGGAAGTTACCCTGCAGATTACCAAGTCTTCAGAAGTTGAATCTATTTTCCCCTTCTCAAGTCCAAGGTTGAACCGCTCCATGACAACTACGAGGACTTAGTGATTCGTTTGATTTCCTCTCCTCCGGCTAGAAGAAGGCACGTCGTCTGATATGGAAGGGGTATTCAATAACGTTTACATCCTTGTACTGTTTTTTCTTCACTTTTCTTGTGAAAAAAGGTTAACTCTCTGGCATCATCAATGCAGCATGATAAAGTAAAGACCATTTCTTCTGCAACAATCGGATATCTCGAAAAGATTGAATTGGTTATCTACATTGCAAAAGGAGAACAATATCCATATCCATCTTCATCCTGAAAATATTCTTGTTATCGATGTGCCCCCATCTTTGTTACCCAACACCGAAGTTCTTAACATTTACTTGGCTGCATTGCACTCTTTCATTGCACAAAAATGGATAAAATAAGCATTTTTGCATAAACGTTAAGCTCATCACTGCTGTTTGACCATTAAATGTCATTGGTGCCTTTTTTTCTGTTTTCCCGAGCATGGTTCACGGATGGTAGGTAATAAGAGACTATTCTTCTCCCAACCTACCACTTCTTTGCAGCCTAATGAAGAGAAAGTCATAATTCGACTTTGTTTATGAGCATTTAATGATGTTCCAATGGCTTCCAGGGCTTATAAGTCATGACTTAGGTGAGGATTAAGGGCGCAATTATTTCTTTTCAAGGCTGGTCACTATAATATAAAACCGGTACCTTGTTCTGAAACTAAGATCAACTAGTAACTGACTCTAATGATTTTTGGAGTTTGTCAAAGTAAGTGCACAGATATCTGAACCAGAACAATGTAAGTAAGCCCATGAGTTCTAGTGGGCTTTCACCGATAAGCCCTCTTATATCTGTATTTGCTCTCATCTTCGCTTTACTTATTAGAAAAAGGGGAAAGAAGTCAAGCATTCGTGTCCTCATATATATCTCCAGTTGCCATTTGCATTCAAGTTGAAGCTGTAATGTTAATAGCACCGAGATAGGGCGATGCTGAACATATCTCATTCAAGGTTTTGATCGTGTCCTAGAAACATGCATGCACCTCAATACGAGTTCGAGTGTAGGTTCATTGCGCTCTCCATGGTTTGAGGAAAAAAAAAATTTAGCTGACTTTAGAGCAGGTTTGGATTGGCCTTCAGCCAGGCATTTCAGTTTCTACTGTCAATGAAAGGCCACTGTAGAAAACACTTTTGGTTTCATTCATCCTCCTAACGGAGTACATGAATCATAAGAGCTCCCACTGAATTGCTGCGGAAACATATTTCACAAATACGCAGAAGTCGAACTATCAAATTACACAGAGAAGCACGTAATTACTAATCTTCTGTTGTAATAGGAACGCAATTGCAGCTATTAGACGTGATCCGAGAATTTCGACAATTTCAAGAATGCAGTATTTACTTTTATCGAGATATCGAGAGAAACGAAGTGTCCAAATTAGGCATTTCGATGTTCGTCCATTATCATCATAGCAGCCTGTTAACATGGCACGGACGATTTGAGGGGGTTGTGGAGAAAACCAAGAGAATGGGTTTGAATCCTTCCACTGCAAACTTTCTGGTGGCTATGGAGACCAATATAAATCTGATGCTTATAGCAGGTGGGATAGGTCTTGAGAATCAATATTCAATTTGGTTTGGAACCTACCCTATTAGGATCGATTTTCAGTTTTTTGAACATAAAACCTACCTGTAAATCCTGGAACCGAATATGCCGGTTCGGTCTAATTCCAAAGGCTACCGGGGAACCACCCAATTCCTTTTTTATATTCCTTGAAAGGTTAAACTTTTCCCATTAACTAAGCAGCACCGACACCGACAAGTGACACACGATAAGCGACACAACACAACACGTCGACACATAATTTCTCAAAAAATAGAGAATTCTGACACATTGAAACATGTTGTATATTAAACGTATATTTTTATATATACATGATAAATTATCATTTTCTGTTAGGGATTCACAATTAGGTTTTTTGGGGGCTGGCTGGGTATATGACTTAAGTATATATATTGTTGATATTACATTTTGACCCCTAATTTATTGAAAATGTTTAAAATTGACCTATGCGTGTCAGAATGGCATGTCGGGATCCCAGACTCGAGTGTCGCTAGCGTGTCCAAAGCGCTAACCACGTGTCGGATGTTTGACACCTGTTAACCACATGTCGGTATCCGACACCAACGTGGATGCCCCTGGAGAGTGTCCATACTTCCTAGCTCGTTAGTTTACCAAATGGTAAGAAGTAAAATATTCTGTTATTTACAATCAAGACAAATAATAGTTACAGCAAATAGTAGAGCAACAAAAACGACGAAAAGTAATATACCAATACTCAAAACAAAGAGAAATATGAAGCAATAGAAAAGTGTCCAGCTCATCCCTTAATCAAGCAAAATAGAAGTTAAAGCAACAACAAATGTTCCCATCTGCCAATAACAACAATCTATAAAAGATGAATATATAAAATAAAATAAACAATAAAAAGTTCAAAACAC